TAAAATTTTTAAAAATATATTATTTTCATTGATTTGCTTATGTTGAATTGAGGAAAAGTTATGTTTTTTAATTACATATAGGGAGGATATAAGATTTCTTATATTTTTTATATAGTATTTATTGAGTAATTGTATTAACAATTTTTCTATTAAAAATATATTAAACACGTGAACTTTTTAGTTCCTATAATTTTTTTTTCATAAATCTCTCATTATTTTATCCCAAGATTACCTATTAATTTACCAATTGAGTTACAATTCTTACGTATTAAATATTATATAATTAAAATAATTCTTGTTTTATCTGTTCAATATGATACTTATATATTATATTAAGAAAACTAATATAGTAAATAAAAAAGTTATTTAAAATTAGAATAATAAATATTTTTTTTTTCTAATCTATATGTATAAATGTACAAATAATTATTGTCTATCACCTCAAATTTACACATAAAATTAATAAGACAAAAAAACTAACAAGCGTTTAACAACTCAGTTCGATTACATCGATAAGTATATTTTAGAAGGTTTATATTTAGTTATATTAATTATATTATTTTTATTTATTAGTTTGTTTTATATTTATTAGTACGTGTCACAACTTAGTTATTATTCATATTATTTCTTATATTTAATATTTTTTTAAAACTTTATCTTGTTTTTTCACATGTTCTTAACTGTAGATTTGTCAAAAAAGACATAATATAAAGTATAGAATTTTTTCGATCATCTGCCTCACTATATATCAAATATTTGTATATCCTATATTATATTATATTTAATTATAATATTTTAATTAAATATTTACAATTCATAAATTCATTAATAATATTGTCGAGTCAACTTTTGTTCATAAAATTTTTAAAAATATATTATTTTCATTGATTTGCTTATGTTGAATTGAGAAAAGTTATTTTTTTTAGTAATATATAGGGAGGATATAAGATATGATGGCATTAGTATATTACCAATTTGCCATTTAAAACATGTGAAAGTAAGGGATTTTTAGGTAGTTCATTTTTTAATTAAAAATATAAATAAAATATGATGTGTATTAGTGTACTACTAATTTGTATTAAATTTATGTAAAAGTAAGGGTTTTTTAGGCATTATGAATTTTTACAAAAACAATCCTTTTAAAGTAGTATACATAGATAGATATAGATAGTGATATAGTTGGTTAATTGAAACTTTGATCTAATTACATCCATCTATCGAGACCCAAATTCAAGTGCAACAGACATTTAAGATTGTACTTGCAATAGATCGAAATAAAAAATCAAGTTGTTTAAAATTTTGTTAACCAACATATTTACTAATTGATCCTGTTTTTTGGGAAATTTTTGTGTATCCCACACGGAAATGAAAATATTTCAAAAATACCATTCATCAACATTTAATTTTATATCTACCTAATAAATAAAAAGTAACTACATTAATCCCTAGAAAACAGTTACAGATGGTGCAACCACCATTCCCTAATTTTATGCCCATGATTCACCGGTTTGTTAATAAAAAAAAAAAAAAAAGCATGTTCACTTTGGAATGCATATCAGAAAAATAGAAGGATTTGCTGAAACTTTATGCCCAAGAAATTTGAATTTAAACCATATTCATTGTCCCTACTCAAGAGAAAAAAAAAAAAGGCCGGAGGGTCGCTCGAAAGTTTCATCAAGAACAAGTCACGCAATATATACTGCCAAAAAAGCGAAAGGACGATAAACGTGAGGTATATTTTGTGATTTTAACGTTCATTCAACTGTACATGATTCTGATTTTACCGAAAATATACCTAAAATATATCGAAAAAAATGAGGACGTGAAATTTTATATATAAGAAAAAAAGACATGTCAATCATGAATATTTCTAGTTTATTAACAGTATATTTCTAGTTTATTTTGTGATTTTAAAGTTCTTTCAACTGTACATGATTCTGATTTTACCGGAAATATACCCTAAATATACCGGAAAAAAACGAGGACGTGAAATTTTATAAAGAAAAAAAAAACGAGACAGGTCAACCATAAAAATTTCTAGTTTATTAACGATATATTTCTAGTTTATTTTGTGATTTTTCATTCAAATGTACATGATTCTGATTTTACAGGAAATATACCAAAAATATACTAGAAAAAATATAATGGTATATATACTTACATACAAACCATAATGATGGTATATGTACTGTATATGTTTTTTGTGATTTTACTAAATTTAAACAACACATATACCGAGATATACTGAATATAAACCATACATATAACAGGGATAAACAATACAAACACGATACAATATGAGAAGATAAAAATATAACGAAAATATACTAAATATAAACCATACAAAACTGCAAAGTTCCAATTACAGGGTGATCGATAAAATTGAGGAGATGAAGATTAATAAAATGTTTCTTGTTATGCTTGGACTGGTGCAACCGCATGAAAAACCGATGCCGGGACCGAGGACCGCCCCCGTCGAAGGACCTATACGTCCAGACCCACCACAACACAAGAGCAGGGAAAAGTGCCGACTGAAAAAAAAAATTCACGGTCCAAAAATTTCACCCCTCTTCACAGTCCAAAAATTCCCATCACAATTATGTTCTAATAAAAGCATGAAGGTTTTGTATTTATTATTTATTTACATAATCATAAAAAAACTCAAAATTGTTTG